TCCTATTGATATTTCTAGAGAAAATCAATGAAGATAGGAAGCTGGATAATTTAAAGGTACATCAAATATGATTTTATTACTATGCTATAAGTTAGCTATTATAACAGGGCATTTAATGTCACCTTGACAAAGATTAGTATTAATGTGAAGGTTCTCAGGTCCAGCTGAAGCTCTGGTGGGCTCATACCTTTGTTTCCAGTGGCCTACCAGACATCTCAGATTCAGAATCTTATAAACATCTCAATTTAATGTGTACAGAACAGAACTCACCAGACACACACATACCCCCCAACAAGGCACCAGGCGCCAGCTTCATTGCTTGTGTTCCTGTCTCGGTAAATGGTGCTGCCCAGGAAGAAAACCCAGGAAACATCCCTGATACTTCTTTTCTTTTCCCTTTTTTGCTAAGAAAAACATGAAATGTGGTCCATACCTACACTCAAGTAATTTACATCTGCCTGGAAAGATAAGACAAATTAGGTCAGTAAAAGATAAAAACTATAGAATAAATATGCAAGACCCCTTTAATTGCCAGTGAATTTAACAAACTACTATGGCTTAAAATTTCTGGAAAGGGTACAGTTATTCCATGTGAAGATAGTTCTGTTAAAGACCACCCTACTTCTTGCTCTAATGACCTGTGGTTCACCAGCACACTGTCCCTGATCCTTCTGACCAGGAAAACACACATTCAGATTGACCCTTTGTTGGTGTCTTTCTCCCAAGGAAGGTTGACATTTGCAGTTTTAATCTTTTCATCTCTGGCTTTCCCAGACAACTGCTGGGAATGCCTCTTAAGGTTGATGTAGCTTGAGTCCATCTCTCTGACGCTGTTTTTCAGCATCCAAATGCTGTACTGCTTTGTCCAGGGTGGAGCTCAGTGAGTACTAATACGTTTCTTCATATGCCTTAGTTGTGAAAAAACCACCTCCCCTTGCCATGATGCTGTGAAAGAGATACATACATGTGGGTGTCCGTTCTGTCCTTGGGGACTAGCTGAGCCATATCACCACAGTCATTTCTTCAGGGCTGGTTTCATGGCCCTTTGAAAAACCTTACATTAGATGAGGGTGATTAAAATATTGAAGCACCATTAAATTATTGAAAGATGTAGGACAGCAACAGGTCTAAGTCTTACAATCATAAAAGGAGTTAGATATCACCTGTGGATTAATTATTCAGTTTTTTATTCTGTGTACACATCACCTTAGAAGAAAGTAGTTCCTCACTTTCTTTCAGAGCACTCTCTCCTCTTACTGGGAACATGCCTTTATTTCACTGATCTCAGGCATATTGCTAATCCCCAATGCTGAACCCTGCTTCCAGAGTACAGCCACAGGCATGAGCAGTGTCCAGAAGATTTTCACAGACTGGTGGTGATTGTTCTTCCTAAGATGGGGAGAACCATTTATCTCTTCAGTTTTCTCTACAATAAAATACCATGATATTTCTTAGTTTGTCTTATAGGCTTTTGGCAATCTTCTTTGCCTTTTTTGTATCTTGCTAAAATGCACGTAAAGTATAAAATGCACTTGGAAAAGCAGTAAAAACCCATTTGTTTCTAGTCACATATTTCAGAAACAACAGAAACACATCCAAGAACCAAAAACTGAGGAATAAAGGCCTCTGAGCAATTGAAGTTGCTGTTAGAAAAATCTGTGTACTTCCTTTATAAAGCTATCGCTCAAACCTTCATCCATAACCTGTTCTTACATAAAGTACCAGTCTGGCCCTGGAGATGCAGTTTTGCAGTGAGTGAGCAGAAGTACTCTACTAAAAGTGAAGGTGGAACTCCTAAACACAGCTGCTGTTTGGAAGCAATAAGAAGGAAGATTTTAATAAAACACAGACTGCCAATGCAGCTTTTCTGTATTAAGGCAGTAAGAATTATGTAACTGAATAGCCCCCAGAACCATCAGTATATTTCAGTTCAGTATAATAAAAATAATAGCCACACTTCAACAATAGTGTACATTGTAATGAAGCTAGTCATTAAGAAAGAGTAAATTGGGCTCAGAGAATGATAAAATTTTTTAAAGATTTCCATCAAAAATATTTTTTAAATTTTAAGTGTTTTTTATATAAAGGATAAACCTTAATTTTCTAGAAAATTCACTTTTTAGGTTGTAAGAAAGCATTAGGGCACACTCCTAATCACTTGTTAGTTTTACTGAAGCATATTTAATGTGATTGGCTAACAAGAATGGTACCTACTGTCTGTGTAAACTTTGTAGGTTTTCCTTTGCAGCAGTACTAAATGGTAGATAGGGCAGGCACTCCAATAAGACCCAAAATGTTAAGTGCTTTGGCCAAGGTCACACCACTAGTAAGTGGCCGACTAGCCTGTACTATCTCACAGTACTGTATCCCGTAACACACGATGCTGCTGGTACCACCAGAAAGGCAGTCCCAAGGTACCTCCTGGAGGGGACCGTCAGCAGGGGCCTCCCAACCTCTCCGTGAGCATACAAAGTCTGTTAACCTCCCCTATACACCCTGCTGAGTCTGGAAGTTGGAAATGACTTAACCGTCACTCACCTGAGGGTGTCAGTGGTTGTCTGTCCTGTTCTGAGGAAAGGAAATTTTTGACACTCTCCCACAGCAGCTGGCTTCATCCTGCTGACATTCCAGATGTTCCCGTTTTAAAACTTTATGCTGAAGGGCTGTACACGGAAAAATATGCATGTTGTAAGTGTCGTGTTTAATGAGGTTTTTCCAATTGGCTTTGGTCTTCTCTTTATTAGATTTTGGCCCCACTGCCATGTACGTTAAAGTTCACCACCCCAATGCACCTGTTACAATATTTCTGTAATAATTTTCTTCTTGGTTTATTCACAATTCAGTGATGAGTTTCAAATTTGAGGTAGGCATTTGCTAAGACATTTCTAGTCTTTCTGATCTGTAGTTGTAACTAGGCCTTTTTGGTTACCCAGGGCACCACTGAATAAAATTCCTTTGGTAATTGTGAAAATAGAAAGAGTATAACCTTTTTTCTCTAAAGTGGTTTAGATTGAGCAAAAGATTTGACTAATAGTTTCTGGGTTTTATTTGGTTTTATATTTAGACATGTTTCAGCAACTTTATTCACCGCTTGGTCTCAAAAATTTCCCTAAGTCAAGAACAGAGAAACTAAAACTGATTTGTACTTTATGTATGGTATCTAATATCTCATAACAATCCTTTGAAATATTGATATTCAGTTCCAAATTACAGAACAGAAAGCAGTGTTCAGAGAATTTAAGTAATTTGCCTAAGATCCAGGAAATAGTAAATGTCAGAGCTAGAAGTAAAATAGAGGTTTTTCATATTCCACAATCTGATTTTTTTTTTGCCAAAACTATACTACTTCAGAGGCCAGAGGAGGAAGGGGAGGTAAGAGGCCAATGTAGACTGCCTAGGGTAACCCTTCCTATAAAGCAACCTCATGGCTGGGAGATAAAAGTCAAAGATTAAAAAAAGAATTAACTGGAAGAGATTATCAAACAACATCTGTTCAACACACATTTATTAGGCTGCCCTCAGTGCTCTGCTGTCTTACATGAAGAGTCGAAGTAATACTCTCTTGAGGAATTACAGTCCAAAGAGAGAAAGATTGAGAAATTGTATAAAATCCAGGAAATTAGAGCACTCCAATTACATGGACTTAGAAAGCCCAGACAGAGCAGCTCTTGAAAACACTCACCCATGTGTCTAAGCAGGAATTGCCTTTTAGCCTGTCTTGAATCTAGTATCATTCTCTCCTGCTGCCCCCACTGTCCAGGTTAAACTATTAAGAGTTGTCCTGGATAAGTTATGGAAATGGTTGAAAAGGGTTCTTGAATATAGAATGATTTCCTGTGGATTATTGTAAAATGTTTAAGGTCTAGGCACTCTTGATGGAAAAGATGTGATACAACTACCTTGCATTGATAGAGCCTTGCATTTTACAGTGCAGTTCCATATCAGTGTCCTCACTTAGAGGCCAGGAATCAGGAATTGCCTGTCACTCCATCATCCAGTGTGTCTGAAGTGTGAAATTACTGATCTCTATTCCCCCAGGAAAGGGTAGAAGATTCCTTTATCGCTGTTTACAGAATTATACAGTCCAACTGATTGGTCATGCTGAGACACCATGTTAAAACTATAATTTCTCTGAGTATTTCTAAATCAAGATTTGTAATACAGTGTGCCTGAATTTCTGTCAGGGTTGTGCACTTAAAAACCAATGATTGTACCAAATGATTTCACTCATCTGTGGAGTATAAGAACAAAGAAAAACTGAAGGAACAAAAAACAGCAGCAGAATCACAGAACTCAAGAAGGGACGAACAGTTAACCAAAGGGAAAGGGACTGGGGAGATGGGAGGGTAGGGAGGGATAAGGGTGGGGAAGAAGAAAGGGGGCATTACGATTAGCATGTATAATGTGGGGGGTTACGGGGAGGGCTGTGCAACACAGAGAAGACAAGTAGTGATTCTACAACATCTTACTACGCTGATGGACGGTGACTGTAATGGGGTTTGTGGGGAGGACTTGGTGAAGGGGAGAGCCTAGTAAACATAATGTTCTTCAAAAAATGAATGAATGAATGAATGAATGAATGAATGAATGAATGAATAAAAAAAACCAATGATTGTTTAACAGGAATACCTAGGCCTAAAGTTGGTCAAATTTTGTTGGTCAACTAGAGTTAATAAACTGGTCAAAATTTAATTTTTTGAAGAAACCTTCTTTTCAATTATATTTCTTCTCTATACAATAAAAATTATTTGTAAGTAATGAATCACTTTAAAAGTATGAAGGGTGTTGTCACTACAAATTGAGAACATAACAGGCTGGCCTTGTATTTCAATTTGTAAATACTCCTCAATTGTTGAATCAAAAGTATTGGGCACTTAAAAGCAGTTTGGCCAGTGTCTACTGTCTTTACAACATGAGTAACATCTGGTAAATTTCATAATGTAAAAATGTTTCTTTGGTAAATGACCATGCTAATTCCTTCTTTCTCTTTGTCTGTCTAGTGAGAACTCAACAGAGGCAATAGCGGTAGATTCTAACAATCAGTCGAAGTCCCCACTGGAGAAGTTTATGGTCAAACTGTGCACTCATCATCAGAAGCAGTTCATTCGTGTTCTGAACGATCTATACACTGAATCTCAGCCAGGCACCGAGGACCTGCAACCTTCTGATTCTGGAGCAATGGATGCATCTACTTGCAATGCTGGCTGTGCCCAGCTAAGCACCAAACATAAGGAAAAGGATGGTATATATCTTGATGTGAAGTCTCCTACTTCTGTAGATTTGCTCTTAGGCTCATCAGGCTCTGACAGCCCTTTACAGTTGACAGAACAGCCCCTAAAGGAGACTTCTCCTGGGACAAACTCTGTAGATGGAAGAGAGAATGCCTTGACTATTATCCAGAAAGATTCTTCTGAACTTCCAACCACTAAACCTAATTCTGGTAGTTCCATGGATGGTTCCACTCTGGGATACCTCACTGCATCTAATTCTTCCTCATTAAACTTCCACCACATCTCTAAGAGCTTGGAGGGGCAAACCACTGGACAGGAGCAAGACACAAATGTGAGAATGTGTGAAGGTGGTAAAGACCATGTGCAGAGCTCAGCTTTAGGAGAAAGCCTACTTGCAGTAAAAGTGACAGCTGAGAAGGAGGAGAGCAACAGCTGTATTGTTGCTCAAAGAAATTCATTCAGAGCTTTATCAGAAAAGGCTTGGGACTCAGGATTTATGGGAAATTCACCTGGAACTGCTGACAAAGAGAATGCTTTACAGGGTAGCTCAAAAACACCTTTACACCAGGATTTAGAGGCAAGTGAACAAGATTCAAGGCCAAAGCAAGAGAACCATCTTCACTCATTAGGAAGAAATAAGGTGGGTTATCATTTACATCCCAGTGATAAGGGCCAGTTTGATCATTCCAAAGACGGTTGGTTAGCCCCCAGCCCTGTGTCAGCTGTACACAAAGCATCTAATGGACATTCACGAACTAAGGTGATGTCAACCTCTGTTAAGACAGCTCGGAAAAGTAAAAGGGCATCAGGGTTGAGGATAAACGATTATGATAACCAGTGTGATGTCGTTTATATCAGTCAGCCAATAACAGAATGCCATTTTGAGAATCAAAGATCAATACCGTCTTCTCGGAAAACAGCCAGGAAGAGTACTCGAGGATACCTCTTCAACGGTGATTGTTGTGAGCTGCCTACAGTTCGGACGCTGGCCAGAAATTTACACTCCCACGAAAAAGCAAGCTGCTCAACACTGGTGTTGGAAGCAGTGATCACTCCCAAGCAGACCCTGGAAATTTCAGCCCCTACACCTACAGTGAGTGTACAGCATCCCAGAGAAGACAGCCCTGAAAAACTTAGTAAAGAAATAACCTCCCTCACAGAAGGAGACAGAGACACTGTATCTGAGAAGGAATCTCAAGACTCTGAGGTTTGTCCCATGATGAATAAACCAAGTCCAAACAGCTCCCCTGGGTCAAAGGAAACAATAGCCTCCAGCCCGGTGGGGCCTCTCCCTGCTCACCTTCCTGAAGAGGACGGGTCAGAAAGCAGCACCATGCTTTCAGCTCCCACAGCGAGTGGGATAATTTCTCTTGAACCAGACCAGCAACCAGTTGATGAACTGCTGGATACAAAGGAGATGAGTGTAACCCAAGGCTGTCACCTGGTCCCCTCCACTGAGAGCATTTCTGAAGGAGGCAGTGAAGATGTTGTTTCTAGGCCTTGTTCTTCTGCTAAAACAGTCAGTAGAGAGCAAAGTCCTTCATGCTTAGAAAACCAGAGTCCCCTTGTGGGCTTGGCGCCTCCCATGGGCCTGGGAAAGGCCGAGGATGACCAAAGCATCAATATGGAGGCTATGACTGAAGATACTCAGGAGCTAGAGGCTGACCCACTCTTGACAGAAAGCTGCACTTTTACTAACAACAAAAACCCCAGTGAAGTTGAGGAAAGTGAAGGAGCTAGTGGTACAGGAGAATTAGAGGGAGAGGACAGTGATGGAAAACATCCTTCAGAAAAATATATGTGTGATCAAAACATTGACTCACTTGAAGAGAATTTGGACAAGAAGAAGAAAGGCAAAAAATTCCCTGAGGCCTCTGATAGGTGCCTCAGAAGTCAGCTTGCAGATTCCTCTGCTGATAGGGGCCTAAGAAACCAGAGTTCAGATTCTTCCTCTGCCTGTCCTGAAATCAAGGTTTCTAAAAATTCTGGTCCAAAACGTTCTAAGAAAGAAGGTTACCAGAGAGAGACAATACCTGAAGACTTTCTGACTAACAGTTTCCTTACAAAAGCTCCAGAGGACACTGAAAACCCAAATGTTGATGAAAAGCCCTCTGCAAAAGATACTGAGCAGGAGGGTGAGGGAGCCGGGATCATCACCCGGCAGAGCTTTAAAAACCTGCTGGCAAAAGAATTCCACAGGGAAGAAGGAGCTACTTTCCCCAGCAGTGATCCCATAACCACAGTTGACCAGCCCCTGCCTGGAGAGAAACTGGAGATCTATGTTCAGTCTAAGCTAGGTGAGAAGAATGCTCATGACCCCTTGGAAAGTATTCCTCGTACTTTCCCAGAACAGTCGAAAGGGAATCCAGGACCTGTTGCTGCACAAGACACGGAGGAGGCTGTGAACGAGGTAGACAGTGCAGATACCCAGCATAACGGTGCTGGTGGTGATGGGCCCACCAGCTCACTTGGGTTGTCAAGTAGTGGAAGTGGTGATGCTGATGGACCCCCAAAATGGGTCCCAAGGCTTACAAGACTGACTTCTTCAACGTACAACCTAAGACATGCTCATTCTCTGGACTTGTTGGATACTGCAAAAGTGACGTCAGACAAGGAAGCAGCACAGGGGAACCGAATGCCAAAGGAAAATGGTGCTTCAGAGAGTGGAGATCCCTTAGATGAGGATGATGCGGATCCAGGGGCAGAGGACCAGCCGAAGTTCGTGGAGTGGTGTGCTGAGGAGGAGAACCAAGAGCTTATCGCCAACTTCAATGCTCAGTACATGAAAGTTCAGAAGGGCTGGATCCAGTTGGAGAAGGAAGCCCAGCCAACACCAAGAGCGAGGAATAAGTCAGATAAACTGAAGGAGATTTGGAAAAGCAAGAAAAGGTCACGGAAATGTAGGGGTTCGTTGGAGGTTCAAAAGTTTTCTCCTGTTCAGATGCTATTTATGACAAACTTTAAATTATCTAATGTTTGTAAATGGTTCTTAGAGACCACTGAAACCCGGTCTCTGGTAATCGTGAAGAAGCTCAATACTCGTCTTCCAGGAGACATACCCCCTGTCAAGCATCCCCTTCAGAAGTACTCTCCTTCCAGCCTGTACCCCAGTTCACTACAGGCTGAACGTTTGAAAAAACACTTGAAGAAATTTCCCGGAGCTACTCCTGCAAGGAACAATTGGAAAACACAGAAACTCTGGGCTAAATTTCGGGAGAATCCTGACCAAGTGGAGGCAGAGGATGGCAATGACGTCTGCCCCAGCCCCAATTCTGAAGACAATAGAGAAGAAGTCAAGGAATGTAGAAACAGCCATCCTCCCACAAACTTGCCTACTCCAGCCAGTACCCGGATCCTTAGGAAGTACTCCAATATTCGAGGAAAGCTCAGAGCCCAGCAGTGTTTGATGAAGAACGAGGAAATGGAAAGCCCACTTGGCCAGGCTGTGGAAAGCAAGCCAAGTTGTAAGAGTGTCTGCATCAACCCTCTGATGTCCCCCAAGCTCGCCCTGCAGGTGGATGCAGATGGGTTTCCCATTAAGCTCAAGAGTACTGATGGGATGAAGGGAAGGAAAGGCAAACAGGTGTCTGAGATTTTGCCAAAAGCAGAAGTTCAGAATAAACGCAAGAGAACAGAAGGCGGCAGCACTCAGGAGCGGAAGGACAAGGGACCTGCGATAAAAGCCATCAAAGAAAAGCATGCTGACAGCTCCACCAAGACCCCTGCTGCCAAGAAGCCAGCTGCAAGGGACAGAACCAGCCAGCTGCCCAGAAAGACATCTTTGAAGGAGAATAAAGTGAAGATCCCTAAAAAGTCCCCTGGGAAAAGCTGCCCTTCCTCCAGGAAAGAAAAAGAGAATACAAACAAAAGGCCTGTGCAGCCTGCCACCTTGGAGACAGTGACAAAACCTGCAAAGCAAAAAGGGGCAGGTGAATCCTCTTCCAAGCCACAGAAAGCCCCGAACAGGAAGCAAAACAACGGAAAGACTCGGGCCAGACCTTTGACGAAAACCCCAGAGAACAGTGCAGCCCAGAGAAAACGAAAGCTGAAGGCGAAACTGGACTCTTCCCACAGCAAACGGAGGCGGCTGGATGCAAAGTGATTGGAAGGGTGGAAACCAAGAGTAACTGTTCTACAGAAGTAGCCCTTTATTTTGCATTAACTTAATCTGCTTTTATAAGCTTATCAAGCCTTTCAAATCTGCAGTTAATGGAGAACCCCACAATTTAAGATGTCAGAAAATGCATCTCAGATGGAGAAGGAAACTTGTAGAGTCTTTCTCTGAGGCTGAGTAAGGGAAGTTATATATTATATTCTGGTTGTTCCTTGGGTTTTAAACTTGGAACCAAGCAGTTTTAGTTTTTAAAAGTACAGTGCCTTATTTATCCTTTTTGTCTTTAAATTTACAAAAGCTAAAAAGCTGATCTATGTGATTAAAGGCTTGTATTTTATACTTGATGCACAAGCACTTGTACTGTAGCCAAGAAGACCACCATCATGCACATTAAGTAGCTTTTCAGCAGCCACCCTGCAGTATCTGTACATGAACAGATACTCCTCTTTGCAAACCCTAGCAGTGAACTTCCCTCTCTGTCTTGTTTGGTTAAATGATATTTGAAAGCTAAACCAAATCATTTTTTATGGTATGTGGAGAACGCAGAGGGAATTTATAATGATTTTGAAAGATTAATATTTCTGTTATCCTTTTTTTAAAAATCATATTCATTCTTGGCCACTCTTCTCACTTTTGATCTTCTGTCATTTGAGAAAATGTATTCTAAATTCTGTGCCTGTGGGACAAAAGGTGTGTCACAAGGCATTAGTACTGGTTTATGACCTCTGAAAATTATTTACGTCCTCCAAATTTGCATTACTGATTCTACCATCCTTTCATTTTTGGCCTTGAAAGCTTCATAACACTCTAAAAATGTTTTCATTCTACATTGGGGGAAAAAATATCTGGAATTTTTTAATTTTTAACTGTGTAGCTATAATTTGGCAATTAGTTTAAGAGTGACTATTCTAATTTTCTCTGACCCCAAGTACTTCCATATTTGAAGAAAGCTAAAATGTTATTTCCAGTAATAGAAATGTTAACGTGTGTGCACGTGTGTTCAGATGCATTTGCACTTGGTCATCAGCCACAAGTGTCTCCCATTCCCAGTTCCACAGTAAAATTCTTTCTTCCCCATGCAGTGTGCTAGGGTGTTCATGACCTGGATAATTAACTCAGGCCAGATGGTTTAAATGTGGCCCAGGGTCTCTATGAGCATCCCCAAAGCCACTTTGCCACCAGACTCAAAAGGTCTAAACAACACAGTTACATAAAGGTCAAAGCAATTTGCAGTTGAAGAAAGCCACTCCAATATCTCACAGTGGGCCCACATCCCCCACACCCAGAGCTGATGTTCAGCTGCTATGTGCCAACTTGAAAGTACATGTTTCGAGTGGGTGTCTATTCTGATTGGTTCATAGTTAATCCTTCCTGCCACTGTCCTGTTGAGCTCTGTTCCGTGGCTTAAAAATGAGAGCTGCAATATTTGTAACATCGCCTTTCCCAGGTAAAACCGAAGTAAGTGCACTGGCTTTCCCTTGATGCCTAGGACATTGCTCCACTATAACACAGTGTGTACTCAACATTTCCATTGAGCCACTTGACAAAAAGCCTTTGTTGTTGAAGCCTCAACCAGCTTCTCTAACATGCTGTGTCACTGAAGTAGACTCCTGTGGACAGCTACTACTCTGTCCTTCCTGTTAAACTTTTTTCCAGTTAGAATGTTTCAGATCTGTTTAGTTAAACCCAGATGGACTTGTTCATGCGTTAGTTCATTCAGTTCATGATAAAACAGGCTTTCTATCCATTCTGTTAAAGGTTTGCTGTATATAATGAAAGCTTCAGATGATTGAATAGGACTGGAGAAAAACATTTGATTCATGGGAAACTGAGAATTGTGTTGAATTTCACAGATTGCGATGCTTACTACCTTCAGTGGAGCCTTGATTACTTCTTCTTTCTAATGTCTTCTCTATCCCATGAGTCTCTTTTTTTCTTTTTAATATCTTTGACTTTGGATATTCAAGAGCTACCTATATTAATGAAACTGCTGAGTGTGTGTGTTGGCAACCCTTTTTCAGCATTAAGTTGCACAGAAGCATTAATATGTTTTGAGTAAGTTAGTTTAGTCTTTAAAAAGTGGTTTTAAAGTTTTTTTTTTATCTTCTCATATAGTTGTCACTGGATATTGTTTTGTGGTGACTTAAACCGCTGAGGTTTGCTGATGTCAGGTGTGTTGATTCTTGTGTATGTGTTCACAGTACCCCACTAGCTGTGTATAGGCCACCTTGCGAGGGTGCTTGTTTAGATTAAGGAGAGATGTGAGGCATTATGTAGGGTGGAACTTTTCCAGTTCCAGGTTTGTAATTCATTCCACTACTTTTCTAAGTTCTTGTTCATTTTTAAAAGCGTACTTCAAAATAATAGCCATCTCTCCCATTTCAGGCAGCATTTAAGAAAAGGTATCAGTATGTATGTATTTATTTTATATACCTAACAATGCAATATTAAAATCAATTTATACTTTATAGTAGTGGCTACATTTAAATAGACTTGGATTCTACATAATTAGGACACTTAAAAATTCAGAATTATTTTTATATTTGTTGGATCTCATTTTTGCTGATTCAGTTCATTTTGCTCCTAGAAGAAAGAAAATAAAAAACCAACTTGATGGCCAACCCTGGAAGGCCCTTTTATACTTACAGCTGTTGCTGGCAGACCTGTCTGCCAGATAGATCCAAGCCAGGCTTAGAGCTGACTCAAGTCTCCCATTTTCCCTCTCTTGGAAAGACCTCCTTCTGATAGCCATCTTCACAGTATGGCTTGCCACCAGATGCAAAGGCAGTCTGTCCCACATTCTGGATCCCAATCGGAAAGGAATTCTGTTTGTGGGCCTACAGTGTCCCACCGTGGGGTAACTGTCCCACCGTTAAGGCTGACGTTGAAGTGATGACCAGAGAGCACTGGTATTACCTCTGAGCTTCGGGAAGAGCCAGGAGATGCTTGGGAAGCAGTCCCTGAAGCTTCATCCATGGCTCCCCAGAGAGGGGCCCTCTTCAGGAGACCCATTTTCTATCCCATGAGACGCCCTGGGCTTAGGAGGACAACATGAAGACCACTGCCTCCTCAGGCCCAGAGCCACACCCAGTCCTTCCTCAGACATGCAGCAGGAAGGCTGTGACCCTGTTCAGCTCTCGAGACTTCCATCCTGGGATTGTTACCAGTATCTGTTAATCTACAATTGCTAGCCCCCTGGATCCCTTAGGCCAATTCTTTTGTGTCTGTATTTCATTGAAGATTTCCGTACAAGCCTCATCTTAAAAAATAATCTTAGGCTGGGTTTTGTGCCTCACTGTTTTTTCAGTAGTTGTGAATAGAGGAGGCGGTTAGTCTTCCCTTCACACATGTGCCTCTGACGGGACCCTCTGCATTTATACTGGTGGGTGAATTTCTCACTGTCCAGATAGGCAGTAAGATACATCACTTCCAGAGAATTAGTTACTTAGAAGTTTGGTCTCTTCAATTCTCCTGCCTTCTCATGGACTCTGTCATGGGGGCTGACACTGTAGCTCTCATTTATGGGCAGCGTTCCTATTGACTAGTGGACGTAAGAGCCAAGTAGGAAAGGGCAATATGCTATGTGATACAAGCTGTTGATGCTGTAGTGTTACCTTCAGCAAGTCCAGTGTCTCATCACTGCACCTGGGACTGGGATGGAATTTCCCAAGATGCTGGCCCAGGGAGCCGTACCCACTCCTTGTGGTGGTCAGTCAGCTTGTGCAGGTTATCTTAGCTTCCAGATGATCTATCAAGGGTCTATAGACTACAGGCTGGTCTTTTTTTGTCAGTAAGTGTTTATTAGAGCAGAGCCATGCCCATTCGTTGATATATTGTTTGTGGCTGCTTTCCAGCAGAGTTGAATATCTGCAACAGAGACCATGTGACCTATTACTATGTGGACCTTTAAGAAAAAATTAACTGATCCTTGCTTAAGAAAATAATCTTTTAGAGGAACAAATCTTCCCTGATTTATCTCCTTTTTCCTGCCTCTTCCACTCTGTCCTCTTTTTGTCCCCTTCTTACTTATCTTACGTCAATTTTATCCTTTCTTTTCCTTTTCTTTATTTCTTCTTGAAAGAGACACATTATGTTGCTCCAGTACACTGAATGCCATCTCCTGCAACGTGAGCTCCCTTAGCCTCACATCTTCCTTCTCAGAATCGCCCATCACAGTATTCATAATAAGGTCATGTCTAGCCTGCAGAGGCAGAACCCATGACCAAACTGGGATTCAGAGTTCTGAAATTACGTGGCCTGGCCTCTCATTCCACTTAGACCCAACTTCAGCTTCCCTCCTTGTTTGTTACTGAAGTAAGCCAAGATTTTGTTTCTTTCAAAATTAACTGAGACTACTTTAGTTGACTGTTCAGTTTTGTGAACCTCACATTTAGATACTGAAAAAGTCTTTTCATAGGAAACAGGTCAATCACAAACCCAGAGCATTATTTGTTACGTAATATTTTTGACCAGCTTCTAGGAAAATAAAAATGTATTGGTACTGATATATTATCAACCACATACTCTTCTTACAAAATAATTTTATTAAAGGCAAGCCAACAAATAAAACATAGAGGCTTGAAGTGTTTTGAAAAGAGTAACAGAAAAATTGGAGCATATTATAACCCGAATGTGACTATGAAATTATAGATAACATCATTAGATCAAATTCGCTCAGCTGCCAAGCTGTTAGTCCTCCCCCTCCCCAAAAACTCAAGGAGAAGCTTCTGTGCTGTCTTTCAAAATGAAGTTGAATGTCATGTTAATGAAAAATTTTTTGTCATTGGTCCCAGAAGTGACTGTTCCAATTGTTTTGAAATAGTTATAATTTTGAATTCCTAGACATTAATTTTTATCTTCTTGTGGCTTGACGTCCACTGAAATACTGAAATTTTTCTGTAGGTATGAACTCTGTCTGTATTACATCATCAAGGCAATCCTCCCAACCTATCAGTAAGTACTCTTCCCATGCTTGCTCCCAAATCCTTTCCAGGGGAAGAAAGAAAATAAAAAGATTATTGTACTTAAAACAGGCAGAATTATCAGAAGCCTTTTGAGGCAGCCTTCAATATAATTCATTCCTTCAAACATCAGAATAACAGTGGATGGGTTGGAAGACTTGAAGGCCTGCCCCCTTTCTTTTAGATATTAAATCATACTCAAAACAGAAACCCAGAGCTCTCTGATGCTGCTCTCAGCTCAGCGCTTTGCTGCGCTGCCCTGGGGACCCAGGGAACCACCTTGGGCACTTTGCAGATGTCCTTGCTCTTGCATTTGCCCAGTTCCTTCCATTACCTCCTGTCTGTCTGATCTTCCTTTTCCCAGAGCCCTGGTGGTTTAAGCACAGTGCTCAGGAGACATCCTTTGCTTTGGCCTTCAGAGGGGCACTGTGTGTTCGTGCTGTCCTGGTGAGCACAGTGACATACAGGCTTTCTCCCCTGCCGGGGACCATTTCATGTAACACCAAGGGCTTGGTAGGCAAGCCACACTCAAGTATAGAATGCCCACTGAAAAAGACCAGGTGCACATGGTTCTGCAATACGTCAGAGGCTGGAGGAATGCATTTTACCTTTTTTTAAGGGTTATACATTTTTAAAAGAGTAACAGACCATATGTCACCCACACAACCTGATATATAAAATATTTACTACCCTTTGCAATATGTCATTCAAGATCAAATTGTGTGGACAGCTAGGTGCAAACTTACTTTCTCATGTAGTCCAGCATTGTACCATCTCTTTCCCTCAAATTTTAACTTGTTGTTACCTGTTCATCTCAGCACATGGCTGCTTCACACATTATTCCTGAGAAATGCTCATGCATTAAGAAAATCCCCCATGTTGGTTGGATATTTGCTGAATTGTGAACTTATGATCTTATCTACAAGGATAAGTGTTAAAACTAAAAGTATGAAGTCTTTTAAACAAAGTGCAACAGTCTTCATGTTTATGAATCAGGGTGAACTTGACTGTCATGCAGAGACATTCCTCTTTCAATACAGAGGGACTTAATAATGAACCTAAAGCCTAAAATAGTGCCTCTCCCCACAAGCACTGGTATATTAGTTTTATCCCCTGGAGGCCTCCTTTTCTTTTCATATACAACATATTTACTAATGTATCACTTCCCAAGCTTCGGTCATTTTCCTGTGAATGTAAGCATTTGGTCTTTGCCTGTTGTAACCTCAGATCCAGACCACCCATTCTCAGCTCTCTTAAAGATACCAGCATATCGATGGCGCCTTTTGTAGCACACCAGCAGCTTTAGACTGAAGTTCAGAACTCTCCGTCCTGACCAGTGAAGCCCGACCCTGCAAGGCCCGACTCACCTCAGTTTGAGGAGCCACGCTTTGCATCTTGCACCTTCAGCTCATGCCACCAACCCCCTTCCAGGAGGCATCTTCTCTGGGACAGTCTCTCGCCTCCCAAGAACTTCAATGAACACATTTCTTTTCATAATTTTATTGTATTTAGCCATGAGGTCCAAATATTCAATTTATCAACTTTTTTACCTTACTGTTTTCCATAATCTACATCTCATATTGTCTGTAGCTAAAGCTGTAGTATGTGGGAGCTACTTTGTGGAAAAGCTACTTAGTGGAAAAGATGCTATGCAAACAAGATTTGCATAATTTTATGTATTTATACTACAGGTGAGGATTAGTTTTAGAGCCATTCTAGCTTAAGGTTATTAGTCTCACAGTGATTTCTGCATTCTTAATAGTTCTGAGAGGCTGCTAGCAGCTATGGTTTCAAGTACATTAATAATACATATTTAAACACCACTGTGGAATTTATTTCACTGTATAAATAGTGATATTTTCCTGTTCAAATGCTTCTATAGAAAGTATTTATTTTAACAACAACAAAAAATTATCAAAGGGCTTTCAAAAAAAGTGTTCTTTCTAGCCACCTGTCCTCCCCAACTACCATGGGCATCTGTGAAATCTCTACACAGCACAGTAAAAGCAGAAGGGTAGGGCCTTGAAGCGTTCACTGTATTTGAGCAGATGCAACATGGATTGGGAACCTGAGCACATACCCTGACTGTCACCCCATCCCAGAACAGAGTGGGTCTCCCACAGTCAGTATGGCTGTGCCCATGGTATCGGGCTTGTCTCAAGCAGCCCCTTTTTGCATACCCTGTTGGTACAGTCAACCATAGCCTTCCACAGCCTGGGCAGGGAAATGAGCCTTAGTTGTAACCCAAAGGAAATCCGAACCCATACCTGTGGGATGTGGAGAAACCACTGGTTGCCTAAAGAAAGCATTAAGATGTATTTTAGTTTTTCTCATGTTTGTGAAACATACCTATTCAGACTCCCCTAACCGTGGGAGGTAACTATCCCATGTTTCCTTCTGCACCTTGACAGTACTTGTGAGTACCTCGACTCACCTCCCCCTCCCCCTGCTGTCCCAGCAAGCATCTGTGCAGATGTGGGCCAGCCCCACTGGTAACTGATGGTTACAGGAGACCCTCTGGTCTGAGGTGTGTGCAGCTTTACTCTCAGGAGTCCTGGTCTGCAGTTCAGAGCACCCCCTTGATGTAATGGAACTGATGCTCTATGATCATGTTCGTCTTCCCCACGCCATTCCTGGGTGCCCTGGGCTGAGTCGTGATTCTCATTCTGCCCTGCCAGCTAGACTGAGAATCACAGCTCCAGGGCTGCAGGGAGCTTGGGGTTTTTGTCATCCATCTGAACCATAATTGTCATATTTATTTATGGCCTCCCTTTGTCTTTTCTAAACAAATGAGGACACTTGAGCAGTAATGCTGGAGAATGTTTTTTTCTAAGATACTCTTTGTAAGCAACTCTTTTTTAAGATGAAATGTGAATGGGTAACTAGGTGCCAGGGAATTTAGCACTGAACTAGACAAAATTTTTTTTACCTTTGCAGGAAGAAGTAAATTTTGCTCTCATCTAAATGATCACAGAAAGTAATGCTGTAAATAGTTTTTTAAAAATATTTATTACATGTGCTGTATGCAGATTCATGTTCTGAGTGATGTTGGTTTGCACTGTAATATTGTAGAAGATATTTTGAGCAGTGAACTTGTTTTCATAACACAGTTCACACATGGAGAAAGAACAAAAACCAGCAGGTTGAGAGCTGTTGGGGGCATTTGATCTGTAATGTTACATCCTATCCAGGCTTTAATTGCCCCCTGTTCTCATCTGGTTATGCTATATTTGTATGTGTACACACACACACACACACACACACACACACAAAACTGGTCTATGGTCAGTCCCCAGATCTGCAGAACAAATTTCCAGGTATTCTTTCTGATGTGTTGCCCATAAGCAATAAGATCCTAGATGATAACATTTCTTCCGGGAGCCACATTGGCCCTTTGTCTCAGAGGATAGGGTAGGGGTAGAACAGCTCTTGCTAAGACCTCTTGCCTTTGCCGGAGAGGTTGCTGTACTTGAATTTTTGCTTTTGTTTATCTGCACGCTCCTTTATGTCATACAACTCTAGCAACAGATGAGAAATCTGCCAGCACCAGACACATCAAAAACTGGGTATAGACATTGAAAAATTATCAGTTTTCCATGAATTTGTGTCTTTTCCAGAATCAAGTTGAGGCAGAGTTCATTTGGCTGTTGCATAAATGTAAGAACTTTTTACATTAGAAATTAAAAGGCCAGTTAAAAGCTCTTTGACTGTATCTGACCTACTAGATATTTTAAAAGCTAACCCATTTCCTGTCATCCTCCTCTGTGCCTGGTTTGATATGTCTGAAGCCCCCTTCGTGTCTGGGGTTAACCCACTTAGGTCAGTGCACAGAGGGCAGTTGCTCCTCCTTCTCCCAGTGTGTCCAGTTCAACAGGTTTCTAAGCTGTTTTGCAGCCTCTCCTTGTGACCGTCCTAAACTTTATGAAAAATACCCCACACCCAAATAACCATTAGGAATAATGTAGTTTTTTAGGCTTTGAAATATGTCTTTTTTTGTATTTATGATGGTGTTTGGAATTTTTCACTAGTGTTTTTTTAGATTGAAGTGGGTGCATTAGGATAAAACTTTCCATTGCTGAGCCAGAAGGTAAGCAAGAGGGAAGAAACTGACCTATAATGTATCATTGGGAAGGTGACTACTTCTTGTGGTGGGAGGGTGGGGAGGGGCATTGTAGATTATGTGGTAAAATAGAATTCTGGCCTGAGGCTCCCCAAGTCTTAATACCTTGTAATAAATAATCCCTTTATTAGCCTCACTTAATCTCAATAGAAGCCTGCTGTTTACCCTCAGGGAACAAGTAGTTTTCAAAATTGAGCTCCTCCAAGGTCGCTGGCCAGTGCCTGTGTGCAGGCATTGGTCGTCTTTGTGAACTCATGGCATTATTTTCCCATATGCATTATGATATTAAGAAATTCAACCCCAACCTGTATGAAAAGCACAGCCCAGGCCCTCCTGAGGGCCAGGGGGTCATAAGAGGCCCATGCAATTTAACTGAAACTCAGGTGCCGTGTTGGGTTTTTATTCTTTTTAGGCCACGACCCTTCAGAATGAGTGTAGGGCAGGGGCTGCTGATCCAGCTGTGGACCAGGGAGCTCTAAGATGAATCTCTACCGTTCCTTTCTGGTTCCTCCCAGTGTTGTCATTGCCAAGGTCAATCTTGTAGTTGTTAAGATGTGCTCCTTTTTGCTGTTTTGTGAGTCTTAGCCAGTGATCCAGGCACCCAAGGAGAGGGTCTCCGGAGGCCCTAGCCCCTTCGTGGTACCAAATGTGTGCTCCTGACCTGTGTGAAGGTGGTCTTTCCAAAAGCAGCAAAATGAGAAATTCTGCTAACGGTAATCGGGACGATCAGTGTGTATCTCTTGGGCCTGGATTTCCACTATGTTAGTGAGTATAGGAAAATACTGTGTCTTTAATGGATGAAAATTCAGTGTATGCTGTGAATTTGTTGGTTTGAAACATTGAAAATTTTACATTAGATAATGTTTACATACCTCACCCGAAGAACCTTTGAGAGTGTATATATGAAATTAAAAAATATATTAAGTTGCTTTAAAACAATATGTATAGCTATAAAAGTTGGAGTTATTTTAACTTTGACTGTGATCCAAGTCTCTTAAATATTGAAATCGTGTGGATTTTTTTGTGTGTTTCTGTGTTTTACTTTCCTATTAGGCCATGTAGGAAACTGTGTTCTTGTTATTGGTAAAAGGGCCCTCACTGAAATCCAAGCTTGGAAGGATTTCCTTTGTTGTTTCAGATTTTCTTGTTTGGTTTTGAGGTATGGGGCTAGAGGATGTGTGGGAGGGATTTCTCTAACATTGACATCTATTCCATGAGCTTTTTCTAGGCGCTTATTTTATTGCAGCGTATTAAACTTCTTTGATATTAAAGTGTGTTTGTGTAGTTACTGCAGAGGGTACAGAATGCATTGAAGACCAGATGCAACTTACAGCCTATGGCAAAGTTGATAACTTGCCAGAAGGCACCAAAAAGCAATACCTCTTACTCTTCTGCCTCAGCCATGGCTGTGGGACTTAAAGGAACATTGTTTGCTAGATCGGTGGCCATTTGTGAGTTGTGCCCCAGACCTCTTCCTCCAGTATTCATCATGTGGCAAACTAACCAGAATATAACCTGAGAGGACATCCCAGGTTAATTCTGGAGGCCTGGGATAGATACCAGAGCTGCAATGTCTGCAGTCTCAGGAAAATTTGGCAACTCTAAGAAGCCCGGGCATCTGTTCCATTGTGGCCACCCACAGCCTCACCCTGCTGCCCCTCCCCTTGGCTGGGCCCCTTGGCCCCTCTTCCTTTTGACTGTGAAAATTGCCACTTATTTAACTCAGAGGTTGCAAACGGGTGGCTCATAAGTTGTGTTTTACTTAGTCTAGTTTTTAATAAGATTCAGAAATTATAAGGGTTTACATAAAAATTGATTTCTAGCTTCTCAAAAAAAATGAAGATCTGATGAAGTTAGTGAATGGTAAGAATCAGCTGGAGCTAAGTAGACTAGAGAATGTGCCCTTTAGGTCACCACAATCCCTAACTCGGTTACCTTTGTCCTTTTTCTTTACATAGGGAAATGGGTCTCTGCCCGCTGCTTTGTCAGAAGCATCAATACAAATGATGGGCCACAGGCATGTCTTGACTCAGGTAACCTACTGGCTACTCCAGAGACTTGATCTTACAACCCCATTTTACCCCATTTTCTCTACCCAGTTCATTTTCTCGAAAACCCTAATTACTTTGAAGGCCCTGCAGCTACCATCACTGATCACTCTCAAGATGACCGTGTGCTGTTGAGACCATCACCACAACCCAGTCTGCTGGCAGGAAATCAGTCTGTGGTCCTGGCATCAGAGGGGAGCCAGCGGGGCTCCTTCGGTGTCAGGGGCCTTGCTCAGCCTGACTGCCAGGGCCTGGCCTCACCTAGGCACTCAGGCCATGTGCCCTACAAAACTCCTCAGTGTGACCTTGCAGTCTGAAATCCTACTAGAACCATTATAGACATGTATTTATTTGCTTTTCTTCTCTGACCCCTAAGAACCACTGTTCTGGGTTAACCTTATGGGACAGTTTGAGAGGCTGCACTCCTTTCTAATCCATTGCCCAAAGTGAACCCTTCAGAGCCAGGATAAATGTGGGTGTGGCTCTATGCAAATGGGATGTGGTGGCAGACACTTGGAATGAGGATGGGCAGCCTCCCCAGATCTCAGAGTGTGCTGTACCGTGCCAGGCTCTGTCCTCACACAGCCATCCCCGGGTAGTTGTCCCCCAGCCCTCCCGACTTCCCTCTATATGAGGAACCTCCTTTGCTACTTCAAGAAGGCCAGAGTTCCAAGGGAGAGTTCCAGCCCATCCTGGATTATGACTGGTATACAGGTACCCCAGAAACCCTTGCACCCTGGGAGCGTGCATATTGGCAGCCCTGGGCTCATCCTCATGCAGAAAAAGATCAGCAAGGCAGAACCTGAGTGAATCAGTGTCATGTTCACACGGAAGACAACAGACAATATCCAATATGTTCTACAACTACCTCTAGGCAAAAGGGAAGGTGTGGCTTCCTCACAGGCCTGTTCTAAACCAGTCTAAGAGTGATCCCAACAAGATTACAGAAACACCTAAACGAATGTCAACCAGAGCATCTAAAAATCAAACCAAGATACTGAATGTTGACTTTAACATAGAAAAATACTATAACAAAATGAAATACAAATATATATTAGAATCTGTTAAGCATTCTGTATAAAGAGATACTCTCATGGTTAGGCTAACAGCAAGCAAAAAGGAGACAAAAGTCCAGCCTTTCCCATTGCCAGACACTTTCACCGGGAGCCTGTGCCACTGTCACCAGCAGTGCTGCCAAGCAGCAACCTGGGGACATGTCCTGCTTGTGTCTCTTCAGTGCTTGTTTAATGGAAACAGCCCATAGTGATGCCAAAGTGAATGGACATTCTTTCCAAAGGGGTAGCAAGGTGTACAAACGATGGCTCGGAGGCAGTTTCACAGCAGCCTTCTGGGCCTCAGTGGGTCCAAATGTGAACCGGCAGGATGAGTATGATCCTTAGTGACTCACAGGTTGGTGATGAAGAGGAGGAAGAGTTGATCATGGAGCACCCAGCAATCCCAGCCCCTTGCTGCCCTCACCCTGGGGGTGGATCCCAGTCTCCCAGCTCAATCAAGGGGGAGCATGGGGCTGGGCTGGGACATAGAGTTCTGTCACCAGTCAGGCAGGTATAACCAGCTCACGGGGTCCTCCCAGCAAACGCTCCACAATCTGCCCTCACAACTCTGTGGCCCTGGGAGTGCAGGCCCCATGGCAGCCATCCCCTGTCTGTAGGCCCCCTTACCACTGTCTGCGAAGTGAGGAGGCCCCCACGTTGGTCGGTGCCCGCCAGCCCAGAGCCTCCTTTCCCAGGGCAGTGGGGAATGGCGATGGCCAGGGAAGGTATGTGTCTCAGAGTCAGAACCCTGCTTTTTCATGGGAGGGGCGAGCTACTTGCTCTTGAGCTTTCCCACCTATCTAGCCTGGTGCTAGAGCTGCTCTCCAGAGTCCCACGGTAGTTCTGAACCTCTAGGTAAAAAAAGGAAACAGGGCAACCCTAGAAGCAGCCCCTTCAGGCCCAGGCTGCTGTCAGGTGGCTGGGGGATGCAGGGTTGTGGCCATGCTCAGAGCTACCAGAGAGGCTGGCCCCTGTCAAGGGGCAATCCAGCCACGAGGACACCTCCCGTTACAGGGGTCCCAGGACTCAAACTCACTGGCCGGAGTCCCCGTGTGGTGGGATATGCCAGCCTCCCTCAGTTGCAGGAGGCACTGGACCTCTGCCATTCAGTGTCAAATGTTCCCCCGGCTGCCTACTGTGGCAGAGGACAGGCCCAACAGCACTGCAAACCTACCGCAACACACTCCCCCAACCATATCTTCTGTTTGCAGATGGAAGGAGCCAGGAAACAAACAAGGGCACCCCCCCCTTATGCACCAGGATTCCCCCAGGGGCACACTCTCTTGTATGACATCTTGAACAGCCAGCTCACTATTCAGGCTCAAAGATGATCTTTCTACATTTTCATTCTGCGTGGGAGAGAAGCATTTGCCGTCACACTGTCGTGTATTCAGTGACTCTTCAAATACTGAGTCCTTCTGTGCAAACGTCTGAGTGAACAGCTCTAGCCTGGGCCACTTTCTGTGATTGGAGCCCTCATTTGGCTCAACTCTTCCCAGGCATCCCAGGCATCCCATCACTCCTGGGATGCTCGGTGATTAGTTCACACCTGTCCACGAGGGCAGGACACCCACAGCACCCCAGCCTCAGTTAGGCACATAAATATTTGTTATGTGACTAATAAAATGGATCTTCTAACTCCTCCTGCCTCCCTCCTGGAGCCACAGTGGGAGGGTCCATGTTACTCCTTCAGTCATCCCACCTCCCCATTTGCTAGCTGAAGACCCTGAGGCCTGTGGAGAAAAAATCTGCACAGAGTGACAGAGCCAGCGGGTTTCGTGATGCCTGGACCAACTGCTGCCTACTGATCTGCAGCACGGGGGTCCTGATCCCAGTCTTCACAGAAGGAGAGCCCTCTCTGGCCAAGCAGCCTAGCTCAAGCCCCCTACCCCATCCACCTGCCAGTGGCTCACCAGCAGCTCATGACTGGCTACTGGCTGGGGAAGTCCAGGAGCAATGCCTCTTCAGTGACTAGTATGCAAGTGATGTTTATTCAGTTGGAACCAAGACCACTCTTCACTGCCCCCAACCCATCCTCTTTGGTGGGGTCCCCTACCCAGGCAGCCCCAGTGGCCGTTTCCTCTACACGAGTTCCTTCCTTGACCAGCTGCAGTAACTTCAGGAGCTGTCTGGTCCCAAGACCCACCTTCCACCTCCAGCCTCCCTCCAAGCAAACAGCAGCTGCACTGCTGCCAGTCAGCCCAGAGGGCAAGGATCATCCCTTCCTGGCCAGCAGCCCAGAGGGCAAAGGTCATCCCTTCCTAGCCAGAAGGAGGCGGCCCTTTTCCAGCGTAGCCTGGTATACTGTCAGCAGACGCTGCAAGAGCAGGAGCTGAAAGCCAGGCTGGCTGCCTCAGAGGTGGCTGAGAGCACTTCAAGGTTATCTGCAGAGGACCAGGGGCGTCTGGGACCAGCATGGGCCAGGGGTGAGAGGGAAAGCTGGTTTGGGAAGGGACCAGGCCCTTCTTCAGACCCAGGTAGCAGGCAAGCAAGGGTGTCACCATTCTGCACTTCTTGGCCTGACCTCACGCACACATTCATTCAACAAATATTTATTAAGCGCCTATTTGTGCAAGGCACTTCCACAGGGGGCCGTCTGCAGCCCCGGCCACGCACCCACAGCTCCGCCCCAAGCGGCCGCGTGGTCGGCTTCAGAAGGACTGCTTGGCCGCAGGCGGTGGGTCCCAGTCCACACCAGAGGGTCCAGCCGCCCAGGCGCAGGGCCCGCACCCCAGCCCAGCTGCTGGTCACGCGGTCCCGCCTGCCCTGGCGGCTCCCTGCCTCACCCTTCCCGGTCCACGCCAGGCGCTAAGCACAGAGGGCACAGCCACACTTAGTGGGCTTCTCCACCTCCTCGGCAAAAGAGGTCCCATCGCTGCACTCAAAGGTAAACTTCCTCCGCTTCAGCCGCAGGCCTTGGCAGCAGCCCTGGCCTGGGCATAAGCCCCGGCACTCCACCCACGACAGAGGGCGCGTGGTCTGGCAGATGGCATAGCCCCTCTGGACCTGGTGAAAGTCCCGGACAGGGTCCCCCCGGCACTCGGACTCTGGATGGGACAGACACCAAGAGAAAGTCTCAGGGCACGTCCATGGGCCAGCACTGCCCCCAGAGAGGCAGGAGGAGGAGGCGGAGCAGCCGCACCCGTGGACCTGGTCCTCCAGCTCTCAGACCCAACTGCGGTCCCCAGCTTCCTCCCTGGCGGACATGCACATGCACGCACTTCCTCCTGGGCCCATCGCAGTCAGTGGGAAGGAAGAACTTTGTAGCTGCCGGGACCCTCCGGGACAGACTGGGCTGCCAGGGTAAGATGGACTCCCCACTGCTAGAGGAGGCTGGAGGCTGGGAGGCAATAACGTTAGAACAGGAATTTGTGTGGAGGGTGTGGCATAGGGGACCCTGGAGGTGTCTGCTGGGTCTCAGCAGTTTTTATTTCAGCAGAAGCATCTCGGTCACACCAGGCAGGTGGGGCCTGGGATGAAGTCCCCAACCCTCAAACTTTCTGCTGCTCCCTAGGTCCCAAGGCTATGGGACCAAGATGGGGAGGTTTAGCCAGAAGATGTTACCCTGGGCGTCTCTTCTGTAAGGAGCTCCCAGCCAGAAGGGGTGTCTACTGCAGTCAGGGGGCTGCAAGCTGGGCCAGGGAGATAGGGGGCATCTGCCGATGGGGCTCAGAGCCCAGGCACTGGGGCACTAAAGCCCAACAGTAGCCCGAGGTGCAAAAGCAGGGAGGGGACGCAGAGGGGTGGCTGAGGTTGGGAGGAAGAAAAGTCAACTCGCTAAACCAAGTTGTGGGGAGGGACCATAGAGGGGGCATGTCAGGAGGGTGGCCCCTGACCTTGCTCACACAGCTCGCCCGAAAAGCCGGGGTCACACACACAGTGCACCCCCTTGGTGGCTGAGGCCTGGCAGTGGCCATGCAGGCACTGCAAGACCCCACAAGGGTCTGCAGATGCCCCAGCCTGGTTGCACAGGGCCCCCGAGTACCCTTCCTGGCACTGGCAGCTGTAGGAAAGAGCATCAAGGGGCACGCATTTCCCATGGACACACCTAGAGAGGACAGAGAAAAGGCGATGTGAGAGCAGGCTGGAGCCAATCCAAGGCCCACCCAAGGGTACCCCACACACCCCAGCTTTGGCTTCACGAGATGTTATTCTGTCCCCAAGGTTGAAACAAAGGGAACAAAATGTGATTCTGTTTTGTCTCTAGGGAGTTTTTCCTGTTAATAAAAACTGAAAATCAGAAAAAAATAATAAAACCCTATGTTAGGCCACATGTTCCAATTTGGGGGTTTAAAACTACAATCTTTGCAGCGGCCCTCAGAGTAGGGAAGTGGAACTTGCAGGGAAGGGTGGGGAAGGAAAGGGAGCTTGCAGTGGGCAGGGGTGAGGGCTCCCTGAGCCCAGCCCAGGCTCACTTGTGGCCATGGCAGGGGCCATCAGCTGGCTGGTCGCAGTGTAGGCCCCCCCAGCCAGTTTCACAATGGCACACAGGCCCCGGCATGGCACTGGGCTGGCAGATGCCATGCAGGCAATAGAGCTTTCGGCAGGGCTCACAGCCTGGCACCACGCCCGGCTTCATCCGCGTCTTGGTGAAGTCTTGCAGTTCATTGTTGATGTACAAGTTTCGGATGCAGCCATGGAAGCTGCTGCCATTGAGGATCTGCCACAGGCGGAAGGCGGCTGAGTTTATGTCCACCGGCATCCCTGGGGTGAGAGAAGCAGGGTGGAGCTGGGCCTTGTCAGGTGAAGACCATGTCTGGCACCCACCTCTAAGGTCCCCTGGGTATCTCCATAGTGTTCCCCCTGCCTTCAATCTCTGTCTTTCTGTTTCAGCAATTCTGGGCCAAGGTCCTTTGCCAGTTTGTTGGGTCCAGACTCCTTTCCCAGAAGAAATGGAATCTGCTTCCTTAGTGATCAGAGCCTGGGGGTGCCTTGCCTGGCAACGTCCAGCTGGCAGGTAAAGTTCTGGATGCCTGGAGTCTGGCTGCCTTTGCCCAGGGCTCCTTCCTTCCCTCTGGGACACCAGCTTTTGCCTCCCAGAGACGCCCCCCCTCAAAACAGCAAAGGTCCTGGGCCTAGAATCCATGTGTCCAGCACTGTCACCCACTTCACAGCAACCCTCCAAGGGAAGACTTGCTAAACCCCATCTGGTGCATAGTGACTTGCCCAAAGTTGTACAGCTAGTTACGTGCAACCCCCCAAGTCTCAGCAGAGCACTCCACAGTGAGAAAGCCCTGCCTCACCAGAAAACCTGCCTCTGCAGACCCAGAAACGTCTGCAGGTGATGGCACAGGTGCAGGTCACCTAGCCTGCAAAGCCTACCCAGTACCCCTGCAGGTCCCCAGCTGATGAGAGCTGCCGTGCCTGGGCCTCTTGCAGCAGCCCCCGGCCCTCTGAGGGCTGGAGACTGGGAATGGACCCTAAACCACTGACAAGTCCCTTCTGGCCCAAAGCCAAGAGGAAAGGTGCCCACAGTTTGGAAGATAAATGGGCAAGTCCCAGGCCTGCTGCCAGGCCGGGCCTTGGGCCCAAGTCAGGCACCCACCCTTGGTCAGCCTGCAGGGCAGAGAGCAACCTGGACTCTGCACAGGGGGGGACACAGTGCCCCAGCAGCATGGCCATCAACTAGGACCCTTCCCCAACCCCTTGAAACATTCCCCACTGTCCAGTGCCTTGGGCACCAGCCCATCTGGCCAGCCTCAGGCCAAAGTACAACAGAGGCCCCACCTGGAATGGCTGCCAGCATCATGGGATAGGGAGGCCTGGGGAGGGCCAGCTGCAGCCTCCACCCTGGCCAGGCCTTACCTCCCACATAGAGCGGGGCCTCGCTGTTTAGCGTGTAGTGTTTGCCAAAGTTGTCCATGGTCATGGGACTGCCACCATCGATGGAGAGATTCACCATCTGGTCAAAGGTGACCAGCTCAACCGTGTGGAACTGCCCATCATTGATTGTCTCGGCACTAGAAGGAGATGGAGCCCCCATCAGGGGACAGGCTTCAGCTTGGCCCTTCCCTGCCTTGGCACTTCCCCAGAGGGGCTGCCGGTCCACTGACTGCTTCCCAGGGACCACGTCTCTGAGGGAGGGGACTGTGGGGACTCCGTGGCCTATGGCCTGGTCCCTTCTGCCGTCCTTGGGACTCCCTGGGAAAAGCTGTGGCGTTCGGGGCAGGAGTTCCCAACTCCTCAGCCTCTGCCTCCCGGCCAAGGAGCCCCTGTGAGGGAGCGGTGGCAGGGGGAGGGCGGGACACTACGCAGACCTCGGAGAGCTTCAGACCCAAGCTGGGGCTGCACTGGATGGTTTGAACACCCTTCCAGTAACCACCTGCTCTTGGCCCAGGAGCCCCTGAGGGTGGGTGGTGGGCATGAGGAAGCCCTACCTATAGATGGCAGAGCTGGGGTAGCTGCCTGGGTCGTAGCTGACGCGCACATGGCCCTGGTACAGCTCCACTGCGATGTGGTCATTGTCCCCGTTGTACAGCAGGATCCCATTGTCCTCTGCCGTGGAGACCTGATGGGCAATGGCACTTTCTCTCCCACCCCATCCCACACAGCAGGGACACTGGCTAGTTGGTGGGGCAGATGGGAGACAACAGTTGGAAGAGAAATGCTGTGTGCAGAACTGTACTCCCCGGCCTGTCCAG